CCCCAAAACCCCAAAACCCCAAAACCCCAAAACCCCGATTAAGGAATCCAAAGTTGAGCCATATGAAATACTAAACCTATTCTAATAAATTCAATTGAAGATGAAAACATAAAAACTTGTTTAAAAATTTGCTCAATTTCTTCCATCTCAAAGTACAGTATGATAACTCAGTCTAGAGGAGAGCACAGATTTGAATTCTAATGAGCCATTACTACTCCAAGAGGCCTAAAGGAGTAGTTATAAACAATATATGCAAAAGATGTGCACTACAAAGTTAGCTAACCTAAAATTGAAGCAAATACACAAAAACTCATTTTCTCCTCCTCTTCTTCACCTCTAAGAAGCTAGAGTGAATATCAACTTGGAATGACCCTGGGCACTGTTAAGTCAACTGTAAAGCCTCCTAATTTATCCAATGAAGCCCTTCAGACAAGACCTCTGACAGTCTATTGACAAGACTATAATGGCTCATTGGGATACGAACATAAGATCTTCTGTAAGCTGAGATGATAGGTTCACTTCCAATAGAAAAAACTGTGAATAATTTCTATTGCAAGATTTGTATTAAAAGATTGTAGTGAGAGTTTTAGTCAGTTTTAAACAAATTACTTATCTGGATAATAGATTGTGGGATCACTATCAAAAAGACCAGATAGTTGAAGTGAGAATTGAACACCACTGGAGGAATCATCTGAAGTAAAAGATATGTTTTGAAGCTTACTGGAATTGTATCTGGCAGATGAACTTGAAGAATTTTTCTTAGCAAACGATTTTAGGCCTTTGTAGGTTCCGTATTCTTGGATTATTCGTTTGAAGATTAATTTATTTAGAAAACAAAGGAAGATAATGGCTAGTATGAGAAATCCTAAGTAAAAGAAATTTCTTGTTTCGTCAACTTGCTGTTCTGAGAAACTCTGGATAATCTGATCGAACTCTGAACACTCAGAAGTATTGCCACCAACAAAAGTTTGCATGTAGTATTGCCCAATTCTCATACGAATGCAGTCTGAACTCTGTGTAAAAGTCTCTATTCCTTTATCTTCAATAATCTTGGTAATAATGCAAAGTTCTTTCTTAAGATATAAGGCAAATAACTCTTTATATGCATAGAACATCTCGGTTATGACTTCTCTGCTCAAGTTTCTGAACCAGTAGAAAACTCTCATAATAATGATTTCGGGAGTTATTCAGCTCAGGTAATCACAATTGAATATTTTTAGAATCAAATCCAAAATGATGTTTAGGAGATTAACAATGTTTGTAACATTAATATTGTAATCCAAAAAGTTTTCGCTTATAAGCTTCATTGCTTGAATTAAAGGCATGGCAAGCTTATTATTTCTCTCATATTTTTCAACTAGACTGTACAAATTCAAGGTTGGAGAAGCTCTAAAATAAGCCATATGTCCTTGTTTGCAAGCAGCTATTGCAACCACTAGCGTAATTATAAGGTACTTGATCCAAATTGTTGCCATATTTTATAATTTATTCAATCTAAAATCTTTGACCTGGGGTTTTGGGGTTTTGGGGTTTTGGGGTTTTGGGG